GTTGTTCACATTTCCAACATAAATTTGAAGTGCCTTTATACATTCTAGACAATTTTTCTGGAATTATATACCAATGGTACATTATTTTATAAAAATTATCTTTTAGATTGTAACATAATGTAAATTTCAATCCTTTTAACCACACATTTTCTTACTGTTCTATCAGTATATTGTGTCCAAAGTTCTTAGCCCATTTTATCATATAGTCTTTCACTTATTCTTCTTCCATTTCAATTTCAATACTGATTATACATTTTAGCAATTACATGTTCGTCATTTGTACATAGTTCAACTTCAAATTCTGTCTTCTGCTGCTCAATTCCAAATCTCCTATTATCTGCCTTAAATCTTTCTCTTAATTGTGCATATGAAAACCATTGAAAACTAAATCTTTCTGCAGTCAGTTGCTCTCTTGATTTCATCTTATGTTCTCCATGTTCCTGTTCTAAGTTAACTATTTTTCTTTACTTACTGTTTCTTTCCTATAAAATGCTTCTTGTGCTGCGATTCATAAAGGCGTTTTTGGGCACAGTCTGTGTTTATATCTGTTCCATATTCTCAGTATGGCACTTCTAATATAATGATTCTTAAAATCTACATTAACCTTAACTTTATTGTACCATAGAAAACCATGCCATCCGAACCTCAGATAGTACCCTTCTAATTCTAATATCCTCTTATTTCTCAGCAGAATCCACTCTTTCATCCAGACTAAGCAGCAGGCTGCAAAGTATAATTTCCAATCACACAGTCTCAATCCTTTTTGATCCTTTACATCTTGAAGTATTTTATATTTAACCTTTGTTTTTTTCCCTTGCTATATAAACTGAAATATGTCTTTCTGCCATTGTTTAAATGGTACATCAGTTGCCAAAATAGGTATTGTTTGAAACAAAAACATCCTTCTTGGCAAAACAATCAATTTTATCACAGAAATTCTCCCCAACAATGGTAATTATAATTTCTCCCATCTTAACATTTCCTTCTTGATTTCATTCCATGTCTTAACATAATTATTCTGGTATAACATACAATTCATATTAGACATAGTGATACCCAAGTATTTAACTTCTTTCTGAATCTTAAAACCAGTTTTTTTCATCAGTGTGTTTTGTTTTTTGATGTTCATATTATTTGTTAACATCTTTGTCTTTTGTTTGTTAATTTTAAAGCCAGCTAATACCCCAAAGTCCTTTAGTTTTTCCATTAATATTTCTATTCCATCCAGAAGATCTTCCAAGATTATCACCAGGTCATACACAAATGCCTGTAATTTATACGTTTCTCTTTTAATCCTCACTCCAGCAATTCTCTCATCTTGTCTTATGTCTCTATTCAATACTTCCAAAGCTAAACTAAATAGCAATGGTAACAAGGGGCATCCTTGTCTATTCCCTTTCTGTATCTCACAAGGTTTTGTTAATTCCCCATTTGCAATTATCTCTGCCTTTTGTGAAGTGTAAATTGATTTTACCCATTTGTTAAAATTCTCACCAAAGTCCTATGAGAATAGATTTCTAATTGAAATATATGCACTATGTTCATTTTGCTGCTTCACAAGAACTCAAAGAGTGATAACTTTTTAAAATCAGTTTTGGATAGGGGACATGAAAACTGTTTCATTCTCAGAAGAATTTAATTGGATAAAATCTTATATTTTTTCCTCCCCGTTTTTCTAGTTCATAGATGCTGACAATTTTCTGACGAATCCAGAAGTGTTGAATCTAATGATAGCAGAAAATAAAACTCTTTTGGCCCCAATGCTTGAATCTCGGTCTCTCTACTCTAACTTCTGGTGTGGAATGACACCTCAGGCAAGTAATGTTACTCTATTATTTATTTAAACAAGATATATAAGCAAAGGAAAGCTCCCAAGAGAATTTAGATTTGTTTCAGTCTGAAAGGGAAAAACAAGAATGTGATTAACAGATGAATAAGATACAAATCATATGAATGAAAAATGACTCTGGTGAATCAAACTGAAGGCCCATCTAGTTTTTCACTTGAGTCCCCCAGCCTAGAGATCCTTATCTACATATTTATCTTAACATTCCTTCAAGGCCATTCAACTACATCTTGTGCAAATGATGTACTTAAATGCTGTGCAGTAGTGAAATTAAGCCCCTCTTTAAGGGAAGAGTCTAAAGTCCTTGGAGTTCTCCGAGCTTGGTTGTTTTCTTGCAGATGTTCGTTTGTTACCTGACTAGGAAACATCTTCAGTGCTAGAAGGGAGTGGGGTTTGCTCTCTACAGTAGCTTGCCCTGTCAGTGTGGGTGGGGGTGTTGTCTTTTTTCCTTGGTAGTTCCTAGATTACGCTGTTGTTTACTGCTTGATTGTTTGCCTGAGTTGGTAGTTCCCTGGTTAGGGTATTGTTTACTGCTTGATTGTTTGTCTGTTGTTAATCCCTGCTTATCTGGGTGTTGATTGCTGACAAGGAGGTGTTCAGTCTTTTTGTTTCTTTTTTGTTGTCTCTTTTGAATGGTGTGTAAATATTGTTTATCTCTATGTGCCTGTTGATGGCTGACTTGTCTGAATGCCAAGCTTCTAGGAATTCCCTCCCATTTTTGGATTTAGCTTGGTCTAAGATGCTGAC